GGAGGGGCTGCTTTTCCCCCCATGCTGAGCAGCAGTTTGTCTCATGCCACCGCTGCTCAGCCTGGGCCCCAGCACTGACTCCGGGCTCATCTGTCAGGGCTGAGCAGTGGCACCAGCAGCTGGGCAGAAACTGCTGTTCTGTGTGGGGGAAAGCGCCCCCCCCCACCAGGAAGTTTTTGCTGCAGCTGCCCAGAGCCTGTGCTGTGCTAGGCTGCAGTGTGGCTCCTTTGTTGCCACCTGTGAGCTGCCCTGCAGCTGCTCCACACTATCACTGCTGCCACGCTGGGCAGCCCAGAGATGATGGTGAAGGAGCTACAGGGCAGGCTGGTGTGGTGCAGGCTCCAGGCGGCCACAGAGAAAGCTGCCCAGCTGTGACGAGGGAGGGGGGCTGTTTTTCCCTGCGCTGAACAGAAGTTTTTAACCAGCTGCTGCTGCCACTGCTGCTACTGATCAGCCCCAATGGGTGAGCCCAGAGCTAGCACAGGATGTGCAGGGTCGCGGCTGCATGTGCTGGTCCCTGCCACTACCACTGCATGCCCAGGGATGACAGAACATGCCATGGTTGAGCATTGCCAAGCGGGCATGGGGTGCACTGGGGCTGTGCACTGTTGTCAGTGGCAGGGAGGTGCTGCAGGGCACTTGGGTTCTGGGCTGTTGCAGAGTGGGGGCGGGTGCTGACCGGCTCAGGGAAGCACACGCAGGGGGCTCCCATGCACCCCCCACATACCCTCAAACCCTTCCGACAAACTCCACAACCATACCCTACCCCACACACAATCATACACCCCACAAATACCATACTTACACACACACACATCCCCCCATACCCACCCCACTCACAGCTCCCCGCAAACCCCACACCCACCCACCCATACCCCCAAAACCCCTGCACACTCCACACACTATACAAGAGTAAGACTGCATTTTCAGCTAGTATGCAATCACTTCTACATATACAGCACAAACTCACAAATCAAGACAATTTTTTTTTTAATTAAACTAAAATATAGACATTTTTATATAATTATATATAATAAAATATATTATTATGGATATTTGATTTTTGTATATAATTTGTTTTTCCCTCATTCTAAGATGTCAAATCCTCTTCCCCAAAAGAGTACTTCTAGGTGCAAGGGGAGGGACTTCCGGTGGCAAAGCTCAGGGGTTAGGGACAGTCCCAAGATGGTGACCAGGGGGCAGAGCACCTGTCAAGGGGCGGGGCTACCCATGCGGCCCTTGACAGCTTGCCAAAACTCAGTAAGCGACCCTCCGCCTGAAATAATTGCTCGCCCCTGCTGTAGGGGCAGATTCAGGGCCTTGATGCTTTACTGGAATTGACACATGGCATGCTCTGGATCCCTTCCCTATCCCAAGGGTATAGAGGAGCTGAATGCTCAGCCCAGGGATTGTTTCTGCTGGCCAGAAAACAAGGATTACAGTTCAGCCAGTGATGAGGTTCTGACACCACTGTTCAATGTTGGCTGCTCTTCCTACAAGACTCCCAGGGGTCTGCCTGCATCTGGCCACCTCCCACACCTGCTCTGTTTCCAGGCAGCAGGCCTCTAAGCAGCTTCTCTTGTAGCCCCTTGGCCAATGCTGGCTGTGCTTGTCCTCAAAGGCTCTACCTACAGCCTGTTGGATTTTTGACAGCCCCCCCAGTTGGTAGATTTCTACCTTCCTTGCACTGCCCCTTACTCACTGGATTAATCCTGTTCCCTGTGGTCCCATTTTTACTATGTGGGATTCAAGGGACTCTGGGGCTGAGTTCAAAACTCTGCTCCTTCCCCCGAACTATATCAGTTCCTCTCTCCCAGTTAAGCAGATGATTCATGGGGACTTTTCACTCCCAGTTGGATCCTGCACTTCTGAACCATGCAGCTGTCCGGCCCCAAACATAGGAATCCCCACAATATAGCACATTCAGCAGAATCTGTCCTCAGAGATGTAGATGCAGTCTAGCAGGCAAATCTGACGCTGGTCCCCCTCCAACACCCAGTCACCAAGGCCAACAGAGAGAGGCTTCTCACCCACTCACCTTCAGAGCCTGGTCCTGCAGCTTGAAATCCTCATCTTCATCAGAGTCACAGTCAGGGAACTGATAGATCCGGATCCCATAGTGCCCAATTTCCTCCCGGATCTGGACAGGGACAAAGACCATGACTGACAGACCACAAGCTCAGCCCTCTTTAACGGGAGCCCTGCTTTGGGGAAGCTCCTTTGGCTGTGTTCCCAGTAGCTTCATACTGTAGATTTCATGTCTATACCAGCTACTATGCTGTTTTCCAAGGTCTGTTTACCTTGTCTTGTGTCTTTTTGACACAGAATGGAAAAAAAAAGACAGTCACAACACACATCCTAATACACTGCCAAGAGGCAGGATCACAGGTGGGCTTGTTCACCTTGGGGGATATTTCCTCACAGCCTTCTCATTCCCATGGTCTAGAACTGCCCCAAAGGAGTAAAGCTAGGGGACAACTGGGAATCTTGCCTCAGACCCAGGCTGAATTTTGAAATGAGTCACAAATGACATCCATGTAAAACATCCTAATTTTTCTTTTCTGGGTAAAAACTCAACAGGACGGTGCTACTCACGCTTGAAATATGGAAGAGTGAATGAGGTAAATGCAGTGGCCAGCCAACTCCCCCTCACCTTGCTTTTCTTGCGCTCCACTTCAGAGGGTGTCAGGGTGTCAGCCTTGGCCAGGACAGGCACTATGTTTACTCTCTGATGGAGAGCTCGCATGAACTCGACATCCAGGGGACGAAGGCTGCCAAAGGAGAGCAGAGTTAGCTGGGTGTGAATCTAGGCTGTGAATCCTCCTAGCTCTGGAAGTGTTGGCACCCTACAAGCATGGCCTGTCAGTGCCCTGCCATTGCCCAGCTGAGACTTCAGTTCAATGAGCTTCTCCATAGCAGTACCCCCTTGAGACTAGTATTGTGGCCATTGTACAGTACTCCCTCCTCAGTGCTATCTGGGACTCCAGTACAGTGAGCCTTCACACAACAACATCCTGTTAGGACTCCAGCACTGTGATCCTCCCTACAATGGTGGGCTCCAACTCTATGACCCCCTCACTGTGATCTTCTTGGGGCCAGCATCTGCCTATGGAGCTGTGTGTCTTGACAGTTAGTACATTTTTCATGTTTCTATGACTTGCAAGCAATGTGGCTTGATAAGATACTTGGGGAAGGAGGGAGGCATGGCATGTGCCTAGATTACCCATACCCATGTCCAAAGGGTGAGATGAAGTAGAGGCAGCAGTGCACCCGGTTGTCCTGGATGTTCTTCCGGTTCAGGCCACTTTCATCCCGGAAGTACTGCTCAAATTGCTGATCGATGTAATCAGACACTGGCTTCCAGCTGGGAAAGAGATGGGACAGGCTGCTTAGAACCAAGTCAGACCAGCCTCAGGCATACTCCTACCTTTCAAAAAACATTCTGTGCTGGCAGATGCAAGTAGAAGGCAGGGTAGAATTCCACCTTATAGACTAACCAAAGCGCATGTACATGTTTATAGCACCCGTGAGCTGAAACTTGTTTCAGCAGATGCTATGAAAGAATGTGCAGATGCAAAATGCAAGTATCTCAGTTTATAATTCCCTAGTGACCACAGCCCTGCAGGAAACAAATAACTCATCACTCTCCAAATGTGCTCCAGGTAAGAGAAGCTAAGCCTGTCTTGAACATAGAAACCAAAGGGCTGCTGCATTAGAAAGAATGTAAGCCAATATCTGACCTCAGATGGTAACAAGAGATGAGCCATCACTGAGAAATTTTCATTCTCTTTTGCCTTTTCTCCAGAGTTGCCAATGTGTAAATTCAGTGCTAGTACCAGACCATGACTGTGCAAAGCTGTGTGCAACAGGGGGCTGGGATGCAAAAAAGCTCCAGCCTCTAGCCAATGGTTAGAAAACACACCCAGTGGGGCAGAGGGAATCAAGGCATCCAGAAGCCTAGGGGGAAGGTGAATCAAGATGCAAACCCAGAGCCCATGAATTCTGCTTCCTGCTCTTCAAATGAGCACTATAAAACACAATTCTGTACTTAAAACTCCTTCTTAGGACTCCAGGTTCCATGTCTTTCACTCATACCTCACTGTTTTAAGTCAGATTCAGTTCAGCTAAAGAGATGCTCAGAGGCCCCTGTAGGAGGTCACTGGAAGGGATCACCAGTGCAGGATGCTCTGCTTCTAAACCATCCCGGACAGGTACCTCTCCAGTATTTTCTTGAAAACCTCCAAAGAAGCAAACTCTACACCTTCCCTGGGCGGCTCATCCTTTAGCCTTCTGTTCTGCCAGTAAGGAACATCTTCCTGAGGCTTGATCAAACACTGAGACCCACTTTTTGCTCCCTAAGCATAACATACCACCATGCTCTGCACAGCCCTGCAAGCTAGTCAGGGTGGGGTTAGACTTTACTCTGTGCTCTGGACCTCCACTGTTATTAGGATCTCTAATGAAAGCTTTGACAACAGGGACTAGAACAGCCCCACTATGAATTTGTGAGAATTGACAAAACAAATAGTCACAAACAAGGCAGAGGTGGCAACACAAATTGGATGACAGACCAAAGCCCTCCAATATCATTATTTCCATGAATTTCACTATTGCCTTCATCCAAGCTAGCTAGCATAGCATTGTGGATCATGCACTGGAAATGTACCTGGGAGAGATGGCTTCTAGTTCCAGTTCTGCTGCTGCCCTGCTGAGTGACCTTGAGACCCATTTCACCTCTCCGTGCCTTAGTTTCCCCATCCATAAAATGGGGCATAATACTACTGACCTTCTTGCAAAAGCCCATGAATTCTGCTGGTGTAAAGTGTTATAACAGCTAGATATTATTTTCTTTGGTTCAAGTTATTCACCAAGAGCTGGGCTTATAGACAGAGATGAATCCAAAGTGGTGGGTTTTAATAGAAGCAATTCTTCTCAAAAGTGGGGTTGTATTAGCTAGGGCTAAGACACTGGAGTTATTAAGTGAGCAGGTTCTTTACATCCCAAAACAATTTAACTTGGTCTCAGTGATTCTTGGTCTGTTTTGCCAGGTTTCTGTTTTCTCATTTACAGCAAGTGTACTTTGTGAATAAGTCACACAAGCCCAAAATAGAGATTAATATTTACTCTCTCTACAGCCAACTTTATATGGCACCCTGAGAAGCAAATCACTGTGTCATCCAGTGATTTCCTCACTTCAGTTCTGTTGCCTCTCCTAGGTTGTTAATATCCACATCAGAAACACACTCTACCACTGATCCCCAGGGACACCCCTTTGCATGTTGCTACTCTTACTCCTGCTTTTACATTCTCCTATGCAGGTCAGGGTTAGCCCTGAAGCAACCTGCCTCTCTTGCCACCTCCTCCTGCAGTTCTCTAGTCAACTCCTGAAGCCACATCAATGTAGGTAATTCAGAAATGCCTGGCTTGCCCCGAGTGAACAGCACTCATCTGTTCTCTCCAAACTGCGCAGTGAGCCTAGGTACTTCAGACCAACTGGACATGGTCATTCTTCCAGCAGCAGTATTGGCCAGAGCCCTGCCTCTCCCCCAAAACATACCATTCAGTGTTGTTGACTGCATCCCCAAAGCCCGGGGTATCCACAATGGTCAGGCGGAGTTTGACCCCTTTCTCCTCAATGTCCACCACGTGTTTGGTGATCTCCACTGTTTGCATGATGCGCTCTGGAACAGAAACAGCAGTTGTCAGTGGTCTGACACTTCTCAGTGGCTGTCCTTGAGGGCTGGAAACCAAGGGAGTAAGTGGGTGGGACCTTCACTGGCTTAGAGATGGGACCTCCATTGGCTGAAGCATGAGGGAAGCAAAGTCTTGGTGACCACCTCCACCTCAGCCCTATTCTAAAATTACTTACAAGTAATCAGAACTCTTCAAGATATTGTCCACATATACCCTCCACATGGGTTGCTCAGCCTCTGAGACTTTGACTGTATACTTTTATGCCTCAGCATAAAAGTGGTCTAGCTGTACACCTCACCCTCCACCTGCCCATTACCCCCCAGACACCAAGGGGATAAAGGGTGATGTATATGTCCCTCTCAAGCACAGACTTCTAGCAGCCAGTGATGCCAAGGGAGAGGGAAGGAGAGCAGGGTTCAAATGTAGGTCAGCACATCTCGGAGCTCCCAATACTGGAAGGTGACTTCATTTTCTCCTTTGACTAGTTGTCCACACACACACACATCCTCACACACATGTGACTTCACAGCAGGGTCCACAAGGGCCTGGGGGTGGGTCTCAGATCCCTGTGGGCAAACACTGACTGTGCCACTGCTCTATCAAAGTTATGAAGGTATGGACTGGGCTCCATGTCACTGGTCTGTAATTGTCACTTGTTAGAAACACCACACAAGGAGGCAGTGGTTGTAGCTTGGGCTCCGCCGGAGTGGACTCAAAGCACAGGTGGTGGCTCTCCCGTTGCAGTCTCGTAACAAGTTTAGCAGAACCTGAGATCCAGCCTGGCAGTCTCTGGGAGCAAACAGCTCTGCCTTCACACCTTTCAGTTATGGCTATAAATAAATGCAGAGACTTTTGGAAAGGTTTTGTCCTCGTAAATCTTGAACCTTCTCAACATCAAGAACGTGAACCGAATCCTCAGACTGCAGAAAAGTGGGGCTTTGGAAAACAGGTTGGCAGGGTAACCTGCTGACTGAGAGACTACTTTTGACAGAAACTTAGAGCAAGTTCACATCACCACAGGGATCCGTGAGAGCTTCAATCCCACCCATTCTCCTTGGCAAGGAAATTATCACTAAAATAAGAGAGACAGACAGACAGACAATGCCAGTGGCTCAAAGGGTTGATGAATTCAAGATGTAAAGACCAAATTTAGCTCTACTTGCAGAACTGGGTCTTCAGTAAAGGGTAAAACCTTGGCTAAGCCCTACAAAAACCTGAGTATAACAGGATGAGAAAAATATAGGTCATCTTCAACAGGTAGATGGGCTGAAATAACCTCCGAGGGAACCCTAGTAGAAGTAAAAGACATTTTAGCATCCCTCAATCCTAAAAGATAACCTAAAATAGACAAAATAGAGGAAAGACATGGGGAAATACCTTTAGATTAGCACCAAACACAAAATGTAAACCACTTCACAAGGTGGTACATCCCATATAATCCCTTCTGCTGGGAATAACAAGATCTTGCTCCAACTGCCCGAGTCATCCAGCATTCAAGCACTGAAGTAAAGGAGTGCAAGTCCACATGGTGGGCAAAGTGAAAGGGTCTGACCTCAACAGAAGCAGCAGGTCCTGGTATTCAGGTTGCCTGAGCTACATGGGCACTACTGAAATGACTTGAGCCAAAACCTGTTTCACATTCCTGATCCTTTAAGGCAGCAGTTCCCAATCTGTGGTACACATACCACCAGTGGTATGCAGACAACCTGTCAATGGTATGCATTAACAGATTTATTATAAGTATTTTATATGACAAAAATGTGCTGGTGGTGCTTAAGGTTGAACTGAAATATTTGCTGGTGTATCATCTTAAATTGGTGGTGTGCAATCTGTCAGAGTTTGGGAACTGCTGCTTTAGGGAATTAAGAGAGATGGAAGGAAAGGAATTCCCCAACCATGAAACCAAAAAAGCATCTGAAAGTGAATGGGGCTGCAGTCGGCTCTGAAACATATTTGACACTTCCTGTTGCTCTTGGTTTCTAACAAGTCTATGTTCAGGGATCTATGGGTCTATGCCATAAACACCTGGAAGAGAATAGATTTCTTGTTCTCCCACTCAGGATGGGTAGAAAGGACCATACAGAGTTGATCTGCTGTGAACTGAGAACTGCAGAACTGATAGTTGATGTACCACCACCGCAGACAAAGAACCTCCCTGTTGAGAATGAAAGGTGTAGTGTCTCCTTTTTGATGTAAAACATGGTTTTGCTCATCATCACCTGGACCTGACAATCCCAGTGTAGTGGGCTGTTACTCAGTACTTTTTCCTGGGGCAAACTTGTCCCCACAAGAAAAAAACCCGGAGCCAGCACTTAACAAACAACCATACAACCAGGAAATGGTTAACTCACAGCTATGGTCCTCTCTCTACCCCTCAGCATCATCCCTCTTCCCTCTCTCTCCCAGTTTGGCTCACTGAGACCCTTTAACTTCCTCTGGGCCACACACTGATTACTGTCAGCTTGCACCCCCAACATCCCCCCCAACTCCCACCCACTCTAAGAATGCATGCTATAACTTTTAACCACCCACAGCTGTGCTCCCATCACTAAGTCATGCACCTGAACACCCACTTTCCCATGAGTGGAGTCCAGCACACACACTTCTCTTTCTTCAACACCCCCCATCCCGGAGAGAAAGTCCACATTTGCATGTGCTGACCCAAGGCAGTGTTGTACCATAAAATCAAAAAGTTGTAGAGACAGATACCATCTTGTCATCCAGGGGTTGGCCTCCTGCACAGCCTTAAGTCATGTTAAAGATGCATGGTCAGTGACCAACTAGAACTAGGACCCTAGGAAGTAGTAGCAGAGGGTCTCAACCGCCCACTTAATTGCTAAGCACTCCTTTTCTATGATGGCCTACTTCTGCTCCTGGGGGAGGAGCTTCCTACTGAGGTACTGGGGTGTTCTTCATCCTGAAACTTTTGGGAGAGCACTGCCTCCAGGTCTCATTCTGAGGCACCTGTCTGCAATATTAATTATTTTGTGAAGTCTGAGCTGCTCAGGACTGGTGCATCGCATAGCAGCCATTTTCCTGCCCCAAACGTAGTCTTGCATTTGGGTGCCCACAGAATCCTTTGTGGTGCTCTCTTCCTCAGCAGGTCAGCCACTGGGGGTGTGATGGCTGCAAATTGTGGGATGAAGAGTCAGTAATAGCTGGCCAAGTCCAGAAACAACTTCACCTGTTTTTTACTTGTAGGCACCAATGCTTCCACCAAGGCCTTTACCTTGTCAACTTGGATCCCTGTCAACTCATGGATCCCTGTGGTGATGTGAACTTGCTCTAAGTTTCTGTCAAAAGTAGTCTCTGTCAGCAGGTTATCCTGCCAACCTGTTTTCCAAAGTCCCCCTTTTCCGCAGGCTGAGGATTTTGTTCACATTCTTGATGTTGAGTATACCCTAGGAGACACTCAGCCAGGTTTGACGTTAGACCAGCCACCCATACTGACTACAACAGTTCTTTTGCCTGCTGAAGGTGGTCTGCCATGTATTGGTAAATATGACCACATCATCTAAACAGGTGGCTGTTTATGTCCATTAACCTTTGAAACGTTGCCAGGGTTGCACATAGCCTGAAAGGCAAGGACTTGAAGTGGTAGAGCTCCCAGGGTATTGCAAAGGCCATAATTTCCCAAGATGCTGGATTCAAAGGGATTTACCAGTACCTCTTTGTCAAGTTTGAGGTGGTTATATATTTGGCATTACCTATTCCCTTCACCATCGCATCTACTCGGAGCATAGGGTACATGTCACATTTTGAAACTGTGTTGACTTTGTGGAAGTCAATGCAAAACCAGATGGTGTGGTCAGGCCTTGGCACCACACAGTCAGACTACTCCACTCACTGCCCAATTCCTCAATTACCCCCAAGTCCAACATCTTTTTAACTTCCTGTCTTACCATTTCCCTCAATTGGGTGGGATTCTCAAATGTCCCTTTTGAGTGGCACAGCCTGACTTGAGGATAATCCGGTGTTCTATTAGCCTAGTCTGGCCCGGAGTCCCAGTAAACATCTCTTTAAATTCCTCCAGGAGGCTTTTTATTTCTGACGATTGAGTCAGAATCAATGTCTCCCCTAGCTTGAGGTCCACTATCAGATATGGTAGGGGATCCTGAATCTCTAGGTCAGCTTCCAGTAGACTTGTAGAGACAAGACAGGCCTCTCAAGCCTTCAAGGGTTTTAGCAGCTTAACTTGGTATATCTGTGACCCTCGCCATTTGCCCACCAGGTGAACCTCATATTTACCTGCCCTACCCTCCTCAGGACCTCAAAAGGTCCTTGCCACTTCTCCAGTAATTTACTCTTAGAGTCCTACTGTTACTTCCCTCCTCTATCTCCTGGCTGCCTCCCATATAGTAACTTCAAGTGCAAAGAGCTCATGGAAGACTTATGAACAACAGGTAGGGCAACAACTGAGCCCAAATTCACTGTTCCTCAGATATAAATGTCCTCAACATCGCCTTCAGTGTTCAGCTCAATCTTTCAAATAGGCCATCCATTTGGGGATGGTACACTGAAGTTTTTAGTGAATGGATGTTCAATAAGTCCCAGACCTCCCATAGTAACTGGGACATGAAGGCTGTACCCTGGTCCATTAAAACCTTTAAAACCAACTACAAATCTGTAGTAGCTCCGTGACCACCATTTGAGCTGATGCCAAGTGAATCGTCACTGCCTTGGGCAGCAGTTGGCATAGTCTACCAGGATAAAAATGAACCTGGATCCCCTGGAACTCAGCTCCAGTGGTTCCACCAAGTCCACCCTGACCCACTCAAATGGTATGCTGACCAGCAGGATGGTCATTAGTGGGGCCTTATGGGCAAGCTAGAGGGGCAACCAGTTGGTACTCAGGGCAGGACATACAATAGTCTTTAATTTCCTGGTACATTCCAGGCCAAAAAAACCTTGCCAGCTTTCTATCCTGTGTCTTTCCACCCCAAAATGCCCCACCCCCCCAGGGTATGTCACATGCCAGGTTTCAACA